GTGGTAGCTAATCGCCCATCCTTGCAGCCCGAGTGCTGAATTACGAAGGACGCAGCTCACGTGATCGGGTCGGTTATGCGGTATACGAGGGCGCTATCATTACGAGGACAATCACATAGTTACAACACACACACAAAGCAGCCAACCAACCGACCCATATCTGATCACGGAGCACACCTAGGATCGAAATGTTCCGTTTTTGCTGAGGGAGGAAAAACCGGAGAACTCGGAGAAAAAACCCTCGAAACAAGGGAGAGAACGGAAACAAACTCAAGCCACATATGATCCCAAGTCCGAATCGAAGGCCGACTCTCTCACCATTCGGCCACCCTTGCTTCCCTTTTTACAAGACAATTCATTTTATTTAAAATTATTTATATCATTTGATTGTATGATATTTTTTTTCCACTCTTTTTTTAATTTTGACGCATTTTTCATAGAAAAAGCGGTCGTTTTTAACTTAATGGATCATGTTGCCAAGGCAACCACGAAAGATCCCCTGGTACACCGCCTTATATGGCAAGAATGTTTCTCGTAAAACGCATAGAAAAATGCGACCAATTTTCGTGGCTACTTGGTTTTCGGAATATAAAAATAAAGTACACCAGGAGCCCATAGACCAGTCCTTCTGATAATCCGGCAGTGTTTATATGTGGCTTAATTGGCTCAAGAACATCACACTACATGGAATAGAGACAAACGTTTGGTCCCGCAAATTTTCCTCAGAATGGAAATATAGCAAAACACGTATCTCTTTCCCCATTGCCTCTTAGTAATCTAGCCATAATTACCCATGATGCATTCAGAAGGACGAACGGGTCTATAAGTAATGTGAAACAACTTCGAAGTTGTATACTGTGGCAAGATTATGTTCTTTCATCTTCTAGTGCCTTTACTCGACATTCTACATCCGTTATCCTCGTTTCGTGTTCTTTCAGGATTTTGAAAACCTCGGTCCTAAATTCGTCTAAAGCACGGGTAACGCGTTTTAACTCTTCGCGTTCTTCGCTGTCACCTTCCTTGAGATATTGCAATTCTTCCATCAACCAGACCACATCGTTTTGGACAACTTTCAAGAGATCTGCGTCAACTGGGCTACCAAGGCAAAGTTGCACACCTGGAATTAACGAACACACAGAGTTATGAAAAAAAGATAAACGAGTTGACTAAGGACGGTATTTGGATGCGCTGGAAGGGCAATCACCCTAAGTGTTCGTAAGTTTTCCTTTTTTCACTGCATACAATGAATGATTTATTCCCGGGGGGATAAACTTTCGTTTTTTTCCCTACCCCAGACTAAAACTACACCCTAATCCCAGCCCTGCTAATTTTAAACGGAATTTACACTGTCTTTGTGTCGACCAAAAGAGTAGCCTGTTTCAGACTAAATCCGAGCAAATTCTACCTCTATTCAGACTACAACGAACAAATTGTACCCCGATCTCAAAAATGCCAAAATTACCAAAAAGGATACCCTATCCCAGACCTAAAAGCCTAAAAACCATACCCTAGCGCGGCACATACCCGTATGGCAAATATAGTGGTAGTACGTATACAATGTTGCAAGTCATTTGTGCAGCATTATAAGTTGCAGCATCGGGAAATTGTGACGCACTGCATTTGCAATTAGTGATGCATTCACAAGCACGAACCTTTTTCTTTCCAATCCTTCAACTTTTCCAACAGCTTTTTCTCTTCATCATCAGCTAGATTAAGCGTTTTAATCAAGTCATCCATGAGTTGGAAGCAGTGTTGAAATTTCACATCGTTCCATTCAGCAAAATTACAATGACCCCAGTCGTTACGTACATGTTGTCGGACTTCTTTCGCGGCATCTTGCGTCGCTACAGTAAAAACACTGGCAGAAGACAATATTCCAAGAACCGCAGATAGATCACAGGATTCATCAATCGCTGAAACCATAAAAAAGGAATTTAGAGAACAAAGCAAAAAATGACAAACAAAACAGTCGCCCATGATTTACCGCAAATAAATTGCGTATACGATTATTGCACGACATTTTGGTGTAATTTTAACACAAGGCCGAGACTCCCAATGAGTTTCATTTGTTCATTTTGACAAATTCTAATCCCACTGCGATATGCGTTTTGATAGCCGTCATTGAGAATCCAAGAGTAAAACAAACCTGTGAATTTAGCCATAAAAGACTTGCAATACAATTTCGCTAAATCAGCTTCAGAATTGACCTTGCAGTCATAGAGCTTAGGTTTCTTTTTTGTGTGGTTGTTATTGATGCTTTCATAATTGAATTTGAACGAGCCATCCTTCTCTAGATGTTTTCCAGTGATTTGGGTGTCGATGTTGTGCTTGGCTTTCAGATCATTGTAGTGTTTTGATATCTCTGGCTTAATATAGCTTCGTAGAATGGGCAAAAGGTCCTTCATGATAGCAATACCAACTACAACCCATCTTTTGTTCTCCTCATTCATGTTGAATGCTCCTATAATACACACAGTTATAATAATCAAATATTTATTTTAAAACCTATTATGATGTATATATATGATATATATGCCGCCCTTTCAAAATCTCAGGAGCCCCGAGTCGACATAGCCTCCGTAGCAGACGTTCTTAGCGGTTCGATTCTCTCCCGCAGATTCTCTCTCTTCTGCGAGAGAGAATCGAACCGCTAAGGGCGTCTGCTTCGGAGGCTAGAGTCGACAGTTGGACGTTTGAATAAAAGTTGAAATTCAATGCATCTCTAATCCGGCTGAATTTTGAATCATGCCTATCCGTTTATACTTCACTTACTATGTGAAAGTATAGTCTGTTGAAGTCCCCCAACTTCGAGTAAGATCACAGCCATAGTTATGATTCAAAATAGTTCTGCGATTCCGATTAAGTAGGTCACCAACTATATCTCTATTTCTATACTTTTTCTTCTATAGCATTGATAACTAAACATAAAATGTAATCCGAAAACACCCACTAAAGAAACTTTGGAGGAAAAGAAGACAGCTTGTGTATTTGTGTAATATTGATGAGGTGGCGAGGGTATAAAACGGTAACCGTATAAAAGAAATTACCTGATCTTGAAGATATGTCCTTTGGTACTGGTTTTGAAGGAATCGGCTGCACATACAATGATAGATTAACAGAATATGTAAATCTGAGGCTGTTTCATTAATACCCAACAAATAAATTAAAGAAAATAAATAAATTATATATTTTAAATTAAATCAAAGATTAAAATAGAAAGTAGATTTAAACAGCTCTCTTACCTTTCCCGACTTTGGGAACCAGTGAAAGTAATACTCATATTGAATGTCAGTGTTTCTACAAACTGGATTTTTTTCGCAAGAAAGATCCTCCTCTTTAAGGACTTCTTCACCTGAGATGAAATGCACACACGCATTGCTTGTACATCCAGGACAATGAGGTTGTTTGCAGTTTGCAGATGGCTGGCATATAGGACAGCGAATAGATAGTTGATAGTCCATATTTTTCATCCAAGGAAAGTTCTTGCGCATGTCCACTTCCAGCTTCGTTCTCAAGAACTCAAGGATCTCTTGGCAAAAGTCCATGATCTTTAGGTTGTCAGCTTTTCTGACAACAACGCCAACAGAAATAGTTTTGACGTCGGAAGTCAGGACTAAGTCAAAACTTGCTTCTTCTCCAACTTTAAAAAACCTTTTGGAATTGTAAAGCAGCTATGTTATTATTGCATAATCACTACCGTATAGAAAGAAGATGAAACTTGTGAATGATGCCAATTTTGACTTGGTGATGTTTTTACTATGGCAAATATACATATTTTGGTTGAAATTGTTGTTTTTGAATATCTGGGTCGACCATCGGCGTCAGAACGAAGAAAAGATGTTGCATTGTTTATCAAACTTCAAGTTAGCTGCATTTCAAAATGATATTTATAAACTTAATTAAGTTTTACTGATCTTATACTCGCTCTGAAACCTTAGAAAAACATTTAAACGGCGATAGAATGACAATGCATTTTGGTCTTAGAATACACTATCCTTTATAAGGATTAACGACTTCTAAATTGAATTGCTTTTTCTAGGTCCCTCTTATCATAAATCTAAATTTTTCGGACTTCCTTGGTCCTTCTCCACAATAAAATCACATATCACCCATCCCACCCTCTCCGATGAATCTAATATCTAAACAGAAGTTCTTTCAGGAGTCAAGGGATACCTATACACAGAAAAGGGTAAACATGGAAACGAGCAAAAATAGGAGAATTATACCACTGAGAAGGTATTTGTGATATGATAATACTGGAAAAAATCGCGCGCTTTAAAGGTTGTAAATTTGATGTAAATATTTACATCAAATTTACAACCTTTAAAGCACGATTTTTTCCAGTGTAAGTACAAAAAACTACCTGCAAAAATTGTGGTTGAACTTCGGTTGGCTTGATCGTGGCCACTTCTGATTACAAAATTCTGCGAACATGACCTGTAGCCTCGGAAAGATACCAAGAGGAAGATGAGAGCTTGGAAAGTACACAATAATGGGTGTAATCTGGTCTTTGAGTAGTTCAGCGATATTCTGGGCATTGCTATTCAACAACATAGCAGGAACAAGGAAAACATTTTGCTCGACTTCTATCTTCCAACGGTACAAAAGCGAAAATCTCTCCATGATCCCTAAGAGATCGCCAATGGTAGCCTCATCATCTGCCAATTCATCACTCCAAACATGTTTCAGCAGCGACCAATCTAGCACCCCTTCTTCCTCGAGCTTCTTCCATGAATTGTCATGCTTCTCTTTCCGGTTTTCATACAGCTCAACGGTGATGACCTTACCTATCATGTCGATTAACCATTGGATGTCAATAAAGACAGTTTGTGAACCTTCAAAGTAGATGATCTCTCTTATGTCATGCAGATAGTTCAAGAGAGTGATGAACTGATTTGACTTGACATCAACGTTAACTTTGCAGTTTAGTGCAATCTCTTTTGCTTCCTCGATGGACAAATATCTCCTTTTTTTCTGAAGAAGGAATTTAAGTTCCTTTTCAAAAGCAAACCAATTTATTGGGATATCTTCATTCATGTGTGGAAGACTTTTAGCGACATCACAAATTTCTTTTCTCAACTTTTTCACTCCTTCGTCTTCAGAAGAACCGGATACGGTGTTGTTGATGACATAGAGGGAACGAACTAAATGTTTTCCGGGTGGGTGTTCTTCTCTTTTTAAGTCCTTGAGGATATCTCTTGACATTTCTTCGGCAACCTCTCCATGGAACGGTTTGTCAGCATGCGTGCATGCTAAGAAAACAGGTGGTAGTTTTTTTGGCATCAATTCGCACTCTTTGGATGCATCTTTGAAGACACCGGCTGAGTTTAATTCAACAAATGACAGCCAGAATTCCAGGTGATCCATGTTTGTCATACAACACTTGTCGTCAAGTTCTCTTCTTTTATTTTGGTTTTCTGCACAGGGTGCAGCTTTGTTGTATGTACCATTTTTTAAACTATGAACAAGAAGAAAAACACCTTTCGTAGAAATGAACAATGGATGAGTGACTTCATAAACAGGCTGACCGCCAATATCTAGTACACTACAAATGATATCATCACTCCCTGCTTCTTTAGGATTTCTGAGATTGTTGTTGACTCGTTTAAAAACCTCATCCTTCGTTTCAACTCTGTTGGCCAAACTTGAGGAATCTTCACCGTCCACTGGATTTTGCAAAGAATCACTTAGTTTTCCATTAGGACCACTACGTTCTGTGCTATCATCAAGTTGGGTGCTTTCATCAACCTCTGCACTACCATCAAGTTTAGTGTGCAGTGAGGAATGAATTTCATCCGGCCTGTCGTTCTTGTCTAAGGATTTGTCTCTTCCAGAGGCTTCCTTACTGGTTTTCATATCTGAATGAGATTTTTCTTCTCCTTGATATGTTTCGGCCATTTTTTTTGACATAACCCCTTCAAATGACATTTTATCCTCAATGTCACTATCTGGCACCCAAACTGTGTCTACCAGCTTGCAACAACAGCGATGTAAGACTGCACACTCTGTACTATCCTCGTTAGGGTCAAAATCCAGGCCTGAAAATCAAACAAAGTTACGAATTAGAAAAATATCGAATCGAATATCGGAAAGAACGTGATCATCTTCAGCTTTCAAACTAATCAGCGGATTCTGATCAATTTTAATTGATTTTTGAAAATAGTGTTTCACAGATAAATGTACAATACGGTAGGAATCCAGAGTTCAGTGCTGCATGCATTTTCCGTTTTTTTGTGACACAATCAAGGCAAGCATTCCAACGTTCACCGCCATATGGTGTTTTTGCTCTGGTATTTAAAACATTGAACACTTCCCAACGTACACGATTGCAAAAATATATATAACTTATAGGAGATAAATAGAATAAATGAAGAAAAAGCCACACAACTTGCAACTTAGTTTTCTACTTTTTAATGAACGTTTCGGCACTTCGGCCTTCTTCAGCAAACTCTTATAGGAGATAGATATGGTTAATATGCGGGTTGATATATGGATACCTGACAACTGTTAGTGTTCGAGGACGTGAATTCGCAGAAACGGAAATCCGTAGTAACAGTACATCATAGCAATAACCATTATGGCAGATAATATTTCCTTCCTACGAAGGCCGGAGGACTCCCTTATGAAAAGGGGAGTGGTCCTCGTCGTCCCTTTTAGGGTTTGAAATTAGTAGTTTGTCCCCACTTAGGGCGATAAGGACGAGAATTTCCACAAAAGTTCGTTGTCCCTTTTTAACTCGAAGATTGCGAAGCAATCGAAGAGTTATTGGAGGGGGACGAATCTGACACTCTCTCAGTCACTCACTTTTACCGTTACCGTTACCGGGTTCCCTGTTCTATATTTGATTGAATTTATTTATTTTTTGGCAAAGAAAGAAATCTAAAGAAATGTCAGCTCCTCTAAGTCTTGAACCTCAGAAATCTGAATTAGAAATCGAAGTCAATTCCACTCGGTCACGTGTACCAATGTTACATAATTGTGGTTAGACTTATTTCATTACACAAAATTTTCTTTTACCTCTGAAAGATTTCAGTAAACTTGTTTTTCCTGCGCGAGACTGTCCAATAAGCATAACAAATAGTCGTCGATTCTTGGTCTTTCCATCCAAGAGCTCTTTCTCATAAGCTTCTATAGCTTTTGCACCACGCAAAACTATCTCAAAAGGGGTACTTGTCGGTACCTATAAAAAAACCTCTCTTTATTTTGATACCTTTCTGAATCCAGGTTCTAATCTTCTGGATGAACTTTCGGAATTCATCGTCATTCTGCTACATACATTTCCATGCACCACTTGAAGTAAATCATCAAAAATTTAACAAAGTCAATGCTTAAATGACGAGTAGGCTCAGAGAAAATTGAGATAAGTATCTAAATATCAAAACAAATCAAAATAATATAATTCAGTCGTGTGTGTCTTCACAGTGGGCAAGGCTTCTGTGATGGTTGTTTACCTGGCTACATTCTTGTACCGGAGAAGGAGATTTTGGGCTACCTGGGTCATCCCAAGAACCTTCTAAAATAGAATTTTAAATCTTATCAAAATTATCTTCAGACCTTGATCAGAAGTGAGCTATCCTGATTGGTCTCCAAAGCAGGATTTTATAATTGTATTCCAACATAGCCAACCAGTATTATTGAAAATCTCACACTACGTACTTACCAACATTATAGTGCTTACTCAGGATTTCTGCAACATCATAACGAGCAATTTTTCTACATGTTTGAATTAGCTCATTAACAGTGACTTCTGGCTTGTTTGCAGTAAGCCATTCTATGACTTTCTTAGTTGGGCTRTGGATTTCATGCTGATGTGGTGGCTCCAGCTTGGAAATGATATCTSGRTCATCAATGTACTGGTCAGATAGAAAACGACTTGCAAGCCCCTTCCAGCCTTCCACACCTGGAAAATCTTTATTTAACCTCCTGGACATTCTATCAAGAACTTCTGATCCAAGTTTGAAAATGTCTTGAGCAACTTTGGAATCAAATTCTGCAATGACAGGATAATTTGTTAGGTAGTCTCTGGAATTACCTCCAAGAGAAGCCTTTGATGTCGAAAATCAAGACATAACTCATAAATCTGATCAGGCTGACAGTAGTCTCCTTCGCATCCTCCCCTTTTGTCGCGCTTCCTGCCCCTCCCAAAAGAGAGACAGGAAGCCCGACAAAAGGACAGGCTGCGAAGGAGACTAGGCTGACAGGTAAGAATAACAGATTGACTGATTTGATACGAGTGACTTAGTGGTCACTGGATACTTTATTACCGACAGTCTGAGCTTTCGCCGTTCATTTGCAACACGAAAGAAAAACCTTTAGTTGGAAAAATCGCAAATACAAATTTCTTTTATATATTAACTACCTGTTGATTGTGGTATTTGTTTGAGTTCTTCAAGAATATCCCACCTATTCATCTGATTCAGGTAATCAACTACTACACTTGCTTTGACATTTCGTGCACCTGTATAAAGAACTCTAAACAACGCTTCAGTTGGATTGTAGATAGGGCCCTTTTCCAGTTGCTGTAATGTGTCACGGGTGATTCCAATCTCAAGACCAACGTCCATCCACGTACATGTTGGTGGTGAAGCCGAATCAAGCTTAGATGCAATCTTATCCATGATGTTGGATGTGGAATTGGTGATAGCTTGTGATATCTTAAGTTCATTGTCCATATCTTAAAATATAAACAAATTGTTTAGACGGTATTAGATGCCTGCTTTGGCTACGGTCCTGGGATTAGAGTGAAGAAACTGCCATTTTTAATAGTGGAAACATAGGGATTTATGAAAACTAAGGAGCCCCTCCCCATCTCCACATTGCCAATTATATTGGTTTGTTGTGAGCTACCTTCGAGCAATCTTGCCAAGTCATGCCGGGCTCTTTGTTGATTTTTTGATAGGGCAGCACGAAGTTCACCAACAGTCATATAAGGGTTTATTACCTCCAGGTATCTAAACAGCCTTATTGTTGGACTATCCTCGGAGTACAGTTTGCATGTACGTATAACGGCCGAGGGAACATTTAGAGTTTTGGCAAAGTGTTCCCAATTGTTGATAATTCTGAATTGTCGATCCAAGCATCTCGAAAATTCATCCAATGCTGCAGTGAATTCGTATAAATCTTTTACATAATAAGTCTCTGGACCTAGGGATAAATGATATAAAACTTGTAAAAGTAGCAAACTCTAGCTATCACAACATGAGAGAATTAACTAAAAGAGAAACCTGCGAGTGCTGAATTGCAATAGATTACAAAACATTATATGTATGATGTCCTATAATAGCCGCAAAAAAAACCCTTATATATAACAATTGAGCTTCAGAAATTAAGATAAAACTCGTGAGATTTCAAACTATATTTCCATTGTCTTCTATACTCATGGATCTCTTGCATTTGCACGGATTGTTACTGAATATAAGAACTAATATTACATGGTTTTGAAGCTAACACTAGCGTAAAACAGATCGCTAAAGGGGTTTATTGAAAAAAATTATAATAAACATTATATTATAATAATTATATTATACAGCCTTTTGCACAAATTATGAGACATTTTTATATATATAAATATACCTAACCAAATATCAAAAACACCCAAGAAATTATGGGATACCGTCGCTGATATTTTGTCTGTAACAACCTGATGCTAGGCAATCATGACAAAATATAATAGAGATATACCATAATTTCTGGGGTGTTTTTGATATTTGGTTAGGTATATTTATATATATAAAAATGTCTCATAATTTGTGCAAAAGGCTGTATTT